AGAAAAAACGAACATCTGGTCACTGTAGCTATTTCCTTCCCGGAAACAACCATGTTCAATGCTAACAGATTAATTCCTGATTTTATTCCTCATATTAACTGATGGACAGGGTAAATCACTGCATACTACCAGTATGTCAGGAGTAGAAGTTTATTAACAAGGCTCAAAAAGGTTGATAGACTGATACACATGGACACACCAATTGGCATCAAACACCTGCACATGAACCTTAAATGGTTTGATCAGGAGTCAGGATCCCATGAAAATAATTAGTGTGGATCCCTAAATATATGAAGATTTATCAATCATCAATTAACTTGAAAAAGACATGCCGGTAAGCAAAAACATGGCTTTACATTTAAGAGCACAAATCCCCAAATGTCACAGAATAGGCTCAGAGGATTTTTTTAAATCTCTCTCCAACTCTCTATCTCTCTCTCATCCCTGCCAGCCTCCTATTGTAACAACGAGGTGTTAGCAGCCTAATTCCAACTGCATAAAACTATTGGTATTTTTATACATAACTTTATTACATACATGTACAGTATGATGAATTGAATATTTTTGTTTTGACAAAAACAATAACTGTAATAGATATCTACACCTGAAAGTAACACAATCATACAGTTATGCTATTGTATAATTCCTTTGATCTTCTGTAGAGTAACAGCAGAGCATAAATTTTAATTAAAGAAGGTTATGGACCACTAGTCACAGCTTCATGAACTTTCACGATTCCTACATCAAATTTGAGAAAATTCACTATTTCCAGGATACCTTTAGAATTGTGTAACCATTCCAAGTATCCTAAAAAACAAAGAAGTCAATATGATATCCACTTGTTTAGCAAACAAGTACTTTCGTTATGCCCTCCACAACTTTGATAACTTTTTGATGACTTTCATTGACTTAATTCCCATTTCCATGAACTTGTTGTGATACTTCCTATGACCTAGTGCCCCCTATGGCTAATTCATTTCAGGAAAATAAAATTGAATGAAGTCAATTTAATTGCAAAAAAAGTCAAAGTCATTTTGTAGCCCAATTCAGCAACTGTTATAAAACTGCAAATTAGAGAGTTTGAAGAATTACGTGCTTCCCAAAAAGGGTTTCTTCGTATCCATATTCTCAGAAGTCTAACCCTCCAAAGATGGTACTTGTCCTGCTTGTCTTCATGAGGCAATTTCCAGTCTTATCTCTTATCTTTTATCTCCTATCTTTTTGATGAATTTGACTATTTCAACATATGCGTTTTCCTGCAAAGGTCATTATCAAACTCTCAATTGCACATGTTGTTAAATCATGCTATTGTTTGGCAGGTCACAAGTAACATGGCCTTTAAACTATTTTTCCTTCTTGCAGGGAAGGTACAAGTATTCATGATGTTCAAGGATTTATCATTGCTGTTTCCCCAATGATACATTAAGATGTGTCTCATATTTAAAGGGACTTGGTAACATTGTTCAGATGAGAGTAAATGGGAATAAGGTAGTGACTTCAATGCTAGATGTACAATTACTGACAATCTGAAAGTTTGAGTGAAAAAGGACCATTATTAATGATGAAAATTTGGAAAACTGATCTGATCGATCAAAGAAAACCATAAATATCTTTGTGGTTTGAGAATTTTTTCAGGAATTTTTGCATATTAAAGGACTAGTACAGTAGAAGGAATATAATAAGTAATTTCATACAAAAATTACGCAGTTTTTCATCAACCTTCAACAATGTTACTGAGTCACATTGAAGCACTTTCCCAATTTGCAATATAAACTGTATTTAATTTTGCAAATGAGGAAATATATTTTGTTTTGTGTGTTTGATTGGTTTGTTTTTAGTTCTTCTAAATACATGTATGAGACATATCTTAATGTATTCTTGTGAAAAACAGCAAAGATAAATCCTTGAACATCTTGAACACTAAACCCTAAGATAACTCAGACTAGAATCTATGGAAAAAGTGTCATACCAAACTCAAATATAAATAAATAAATAAACTCAAAGTAAACAGGGTTGCTTTTAGTCAAACGTAATTATACATGAAGATTATTCATAATATTATGCACTTATAATCTCTTCCTCCACCCCTTCCAATCAAAGTTCCCTTCTTCCTCCTTCCCTCCTTCAGTCTCCCTCCTCTCTAATAGCCTCACTCCCTCCATCTATCCCTCCTATGACATAGATCTATGAAGTCTTTACCATGTTCAAGATACTATAAAAATGTTGGCTTTGTGAAAATATCAATCCAGAGTTTGGTGCATGAATAATAACCAATTAAGTGTCTAAAAAATAATAGTAACTGGCCCTTTGCATACAAATTTATTACAAAAAGTGACATCTGACAATAAAGATGTAGGCCTACCTTAGGCAAAACAAAATTATTGTAATAAACACTAAACAACAACTTATTCCACTGAAACTTATGCATTTTAAATCCCTTTTCGATAGATCTATGCTCAGTTCATCCATGGACCACAATAATTTTGAACAACAGCATATCTACATCTGTTTCCATTCCACCTAGATGCCTTCTTAATTCCATCACCACTATTTGCTGCACTACATGCAAACACTTGCAGATTAAATTCTACATAGCATGAACACAGGATTCCTTGTAGAAGTGAAGTCATGGAATGCCTCTTATAAGCCTCAATAAGCTGCATCAGTGGAAGTGAGTTCAAGAGATCATATCAATTTGGTTTCCCAGTAGACCCCTCACTGCACCTGTGCAGCCCCACTGTGCATGACTCCAACTTCGCTTGCATTTGGGTTGCAAACCCTGCAAGAAACCTGAGAGATATCTCCATCCAACCTGCCACAGCACATATCTTGTCCTTGCATTCTACTTCACCACGACAACGCATCATCCCAACGGTTTATTGGATGCGACAATTCCCTGCCAAACCCCCATCGTGTGGAAAATTCGGCAGAACCAAGGAGAGAAGGAAGAAAAGATTTTATTCACTCATGGGGCCTATAATTCCAAGAGGTGACAAAGAGATGGCATGCTTTCCCCTCAAAATCGGAAGAAAATCAAACGATTTAACTGATACAGAAACGTCTGTAAGGTGAAGAAAAAAGGAGCAGTGACCTTACGTTGGGCATCACAAGCCCTTCGTTTGCCACAGAGAGCCATTCTACTTCCCACTTGGAACATTAACTTGATTGTAAATTTCTTTGAATTCTTCTTCTCTCAAATTCTTGTCCACTAAAAATTTGTATCTGTGGGAAAGACTTGGAGATGGTCATGGCACAGAAAGACACCTATGGTTTAGGAGACAGACACCCTGCCTACATGGATGGAATCTTTAATGGACTTGTTTCTCCTTGAGAAAAATGCCTATGTTGTGCAAGCGATCAAACCGCAAGGACAGACGGAAGAAAAAGAGGTTAAACAGTTTGGCTAACCTTGCATATTTTGGTGTACAATACAGAACAAAGATGATTATTTCACTTTACATAATCTGGACAATTTAGAGCTGAAAGTAAATTAGATGAGTCTGCAATATACACATTGACTTGCTAAGAAGGAAAAGATAAACCCCTGCAGAATTGTATAACAAAATCAAATTACCTGTTCATCATTCAATAATTAAAATCATAAAAGCATTCTTAATTGTTCATGAATACAAAGGTGTTTGGGAATTCTGCATTCTGCTGTTTAAAATTTTGTTAAAAACAAAGATCTGTAGCTAAGGCAATTAATTAAGTACAGTTATATCAAAACAAATATGGAACCACGAGAGAAAAATTAACAAATGATAAAATTAGGTAAGATATATAGCTACACATTTGACAGAAAATGTATTAATAAGCAAATATATTTTGAAGTCGTTTCCACAGACTCAATGAAAATCTAGTCCGTCTTCAATGACTTTAAAAAAAGAAATTTTACAAAATTTTTTGTAAAGAGCAGATTGGAGAGAAGCTCACAAGAAACGTCACAATGTTGCCAATTTGTGTTCCACATCATATAGCGATTTTAAAAATTCATTACTTTCCTATTGGATATCGCATTTAAACCTTCACTGATTTGGTTCTCTCATTTTTCTGCTTTTATTTAAAAGGGTGGACTTCCCCTTTAAAGATAAGATTTATTTTTAAGTTCCACAAAGTGTTTGGAATGTATATTTAGGTCTGGATATTCAAAGGGGATTCCATTTCTTTGCGATTTAGTGCTAATTTTCACTATTAAATTACTTACAATGTGCAAGTCTTCCATATAATGATATAGCGGACTTGCCCTGCTAATAATATTAGTAAATCCCACTTTTTATCTAAAAAGTGAAATATAAGATACTTGTTTAAAAAAAAAACTTTTATTCTCTTTAACCAAATTTTGTCTACAAAGTAAGTTGATTTAGTCTCACTAATACACTTATCTCTATCCCCATTCTTTTTATCTCTGACTTGTTTTGTTAAGTTTTGGGGGACCCATTCATTAATTTTTCTTGCTATGCATGAGAAGTTGAGAACTATTTTTTTTAAAGCCTGGGACTGCAATGTCCTATTCACATTTCACAATATTATTTTCCAATTTTAGAGTGTTTCCATCTCACAATGAATATAGCCCATTCAATTCAGCCAAGCAATGAGACCAAACCAGTCAAAAAATATTACTAACCTTGTAGTTGTACGAGTAACAAAACCCAATCATACTGTACATCATGCTTCAATCTTTCTCTATTCCCTATTCACCATCACATTTTCCAAAGTGAGAGTTTGACCCGTCTCACAACAATACAGAGCCTGTCTGAGCCAAATCCAAACCGCAATATATTTTATAAACAAAATAAAATAATGTTAATAACTTTGTTAGAGAGACAAAACCCGATCATGGTGTCTGTAAATCAAACAACAACACTCTCTAACTCTATGATATCACCCCGTTATATCCAGATAGTAAAAAGGAAGAAAAACAAGTCAGAATTCCTTCCTGTGGAGAATTAAGCAAGTGATCTCATATAACTGTTAGAATCTCGTTGGACAAGGTTGCTTACCACGCAATTCTTGGGTACCCCGCTCCTGACGGCTTCTCCGCTTTATCTCCGTTCCTTCTGCAGACGACGACAAGCGTTGATGAGGAGTCTCGCTCCAGCTCTCCACTCCAAAAATTGCAAGCAAAAATAAAATAATCGTTCTTACTTCCATGATTAAATCCTTTGATGAAACTCAAAAGTCATGATCCGATTGCAGATAGTATTTTGTTAAGCCAAATAGTTTTCCACAGGCTTGGACGATATAGCAACAAGAAGATCCAATTTTTGATAAATTTCTGTTTTTCCTCCAAAGATCCCGAGCCAGTGTTTCTTGCTCGCTCCGAGACGAGAGGCTAGGCGCGGAGGACGTCTGCCAAAGTAGTTTGATTCAATTACAGTCGACTTAACTCTTCGATATCATACGTAGCTAGTTTTGATCATTCAGTGACAAGGCACAGGTGTTCGCGGTTTAGTTGGTATCAACAACAAATAAATTTATTTCTAAGATGAATGAAAAAGTGCGAGGGCTAGGGTTTCTCCTTGAGCTCGCTCGGTTAACCTCACATAGCAGAGCGCGCGTCGGATGAAGAATGCTGCTATGAGTATGATGACCTAAATGACGAAAGTAAAAAAATTATGTGGAATTGGTAGGTAGCTGTCCGGTCGTAGACGTTTTCACAGTCGTATGTCAAGTCGATATTTCGTACATTTCTGTTATAACAAGCCTGATCAAGTTAAAAGAAATACATAGAGCGGCTGGGGCATCAGGTAAAATTGTCTTGAACATTTTTGACCGTTTCATCATGACTTTGCACAATTCTTGAGGATTAGCGGATTTATTTTCTTTCGCCTAATGTGCAAATTAGTGTGCTATGGTTTCAGTATTTTGGATCTCTAGAATGATGTAGAACTTTTAACCACACGGTAGACCACATCATCTGTCATTTCTATACATATATCCATCAATCCATCTATCCGCCTTTCTTTCTTACTCTTGGATTTAATTTTGTTCCTGGACACAGCTTCTAATTATTGTGACTGTCAAAACGAGATGTGTAAAGATATTAATGCAGGTAGCAGCTAGGAGGTGGGTGGGGGAGGGGGGAGGGGCACGGGATTGAGCTAGAATATAGTGATACTCCCCATTTGCACACATGGCACGTCATATTAAAAGATAATGAGAAAACTTTTGCCCAATGAGCTTCGTGTAATGTCCAGGCACGACAGGTGTTATCGTGACGTCACAATAGTGAACATATGGGTGTCGATCCCGGCGGGGGGGGGGGGGGGGGGGGGGGGGATATATCCCCCCCCCCCCCCAATAATTCACCCTCAAAAAAAAAATAATAATAATAATGATGAGAGTCCGATGAGGTAGTTAATGGATATTACTCGCAAGATGACCGTCAATATACACATTTTGTTATCTCATTTTCATAATACAAGTAAATGAGACAACCGTATATGAGACAAGAATAAATTGAAGTCTCGTTCATACGGCTTCATCAGGAATTTATGAATTTATTCACTTTGTTCAATCAACAGCATCATAGAAATGCAGTGCGCCAGATGCAAAGACGCAGCGTTAAAAAGCAACGAGCTAAATGTTAAGCGCGAAGCGCAAAAGTAGCAATCTGCAACATCAGACAATCCTGGACAGTGTAAACATAAATGAACTCTGTGACAAATTCGTGATGAGATCGGAGACGAGGAGAAAGATTTTCGGACATTAGTATGGCTTATAAGATAGTTCACTAGTTGTTATGTTGTTTCCGTTCACCCTTTTAAAAAAAAATCACTCATTTTATTTCCTGATATTTCCTTTTAAAAATTCATTTTTGGAGAAATATTATTATGTCACAACTTATTTTTGTTATATTGAAAAGGCGTATATCATACAAGTGATTTATAAATGTTCGTGATATCACATGATTTTCAACAAAATTCGCGTTTCTCCATTTCTGTTGCAAACTGACACATTACCAAATAGCCAGGAAGAGCATATATTTTATATAGTCACTAATGGGCCTAAAAAGTGGCCGTTAACACTAACAGTACTATACAATTCCTTTCCAGAAGCTATTGCGACAAGCACTGCCGGGGAATAACATGCTACCATCCACTCGGGCTGTGCATGCAAAGATTTGCGAACGAAAGTTCCATACGTACATCATGTGGGGGAAACTGAAATCAGACAAGGATTAATATAGAGAACAGTATAACAAATCGTCTTCTTTCTCTAATATTTTAGTGAAACGGCAAAGCTTCCGCGCTTCGCTCGGGAGGGGGGCAACTGAATTCAGACTAGAATTAAGAGTTATAATTAAATGAAACGTCAAAGAACACGATACAACGAATCATCTTCTTTTTCTAATAATTTAATGAAACGTGAAAGCTTCCGCGCTACGCGCGGGATGGGCGAAAGTGATTTCAAACTTGGATTAAGAGTAATAAACAAATGAAACGTCAAAGCTTCCGCGCTTCGCGCGGTAGGGGAAAAACTGAATTCAGACAAGGACACGATACAACTAATCGTCTTCCTTCTCTAATAGTTTATTGAAACGCCAAAGCTTCCGCGCTAAGCGCGGGAGCGAATTGTACTCAGACAAGGACACGGTACAACGAATCGTCTTCCTTCTCTAATAATTTATTGAAACGTCAAAGCTTCCGCGCGGGAGGGCGGGAGCGAATTGCACTCAGACATGGACACTATACAACGAATCGTCTTCCTTCTCTAATAATTTAATGAAACGTCAAAGCTTCCGCGCGGGAGGGGGAAAACTGAATTCAGACAGGGATTAACAGTCGAGAATGGTACATCGAATCGGCTTCTTTCTTTAATAATCTAATGAAACATCAGAGCTTCCGCGCTACGCGCGGAGGAAGGGGAGCTTGATTCAAACATTAAGGATTAAGAGTCGAGAATGGTACATGAAATCGTTCCCTTTCTTCAATAATCTAATGAAACGTCAGAGCTTCCGCGCTACGCGCGGAGGAAGGGGAACTTGATTCAAACAAGGATTAAGCGTCGAGAACGCTCCAACGAATCGTCTTCTTTCTCTAATAAGTTAATGAAACGTCAAAGCTTCCGCGCTTCGCGCGCTCTGTAACTCTCCTGGCTACGCCCTTGGGGAGGGGTGCAACCTGCCACACGCTTCTACCTCTTGATTGCTTTTGGCACCTATCATCCCCCAACCACGGATACAAATCGACACCCTTGCCAGACAGGTACAAAATACTGCATGTAACGTATGCAATTGAAGTTTAACACCAGTATTCAGCAGCTTGCTGTACATTGGTACTTTTTCGACTAAAACGAGAGAACGTAAAGATTTTCCTCTTCCTAAAGGTTAATTCGGCGCTATACTGCTAGTTTATTGCGATTGCCAAACGAATATATAAATGAAGCTAGAAATTTGACATCCATATTAATTCATCTTTATCATGGTTTATAAATTCTTTTTTTTGAATAAATTTACTTCGAAAGCTTGTATTGATTAATTAGCTTGCTGACTACATTTTCAGGTTGGTGCAGGGTCGGATCCAGACGGCGGCGAGGGAGGGGCCCCAAGTCGCTACAAAATATTTAGCGGTGACTCAGTCGACTGGCCGAATAAGCGGGAGGGGGGTTGTTATCGAGCTCTATTTCTTTTTACTCAACCCCCCCCCCCCCCCCGGGTTGGTGTACGCTTACATTGCAGGTTATATGTACTTCGTGTAAATGGCTGCTTTCCAGTGTAGTTCAACTTTGACTGATTTCGACTCTTCGTTCAACGATGGCATCTCATGTGTATAATTTACGGAGGGGATGCCCCACACTCCGTCGTTTGAGGAACATACTTAATAACGATTCCATGAAAAATGCGCCACTTCAACTGTCGATAAGCCTATTGTAAGTAAACGGCAGTTTCCGTTGAAAGGAACTTTTGCAAATAGCAATCGTTTAATATTGCTTTAGGTTTGATCCGGTTATTTCGCAACACCATAGGCATTAATCCTCATTACCAGGTCCTTCGGAGAGGACATAAAGCCGTCGGCCGTCTGGTTGCTTACTTACAAGCATTTTGTGCTTTCTTAGCAGTCAGGTAAAAAAAACCACCACCGCCAACATAAATTTATCTCAAATCCGAATAGGCCTATATCGCAAAAGTTTCATAGAAATTCATACAAGCTATATTTGAGGGTTTGGAATGAACTTGCAACTGATGATCAATGTATTGCACGCGGGCCAAGCTAAGCTATTAGGAGATGCCCTGTCCTATCCCTTCTCAGCCCCCCCCCCCCCCCTCCCCACACACTCTGTCCAAAGAAGAGAAAACAAAATTTGTCTTCTTTTTTTCTTTTCTTTCTATTATACATAACTGATTTTTACCCTACATTCAATCAGGCCTTTCTCTGTTCCGCAAATGATTTCATGAATGCACAAGGGGGGGGGGGGGGGGGGGGGGGGGGTTAAGAGCACATTTTATTATTATTTTTGTCCCGAAATTTGAACATTTGACCGATCGACATTTCGTTCCGTTGGGGGGGGGGGGGGGGGGGGGTAAGGTTACCTTTACTATTATTTTTGTCCCGAAATTTGAACATTTGACCGATCGACATTTCGTTCCGTGGGGGGGGGGGGTAAGGTCACCTTTTTAGGTCACCTATATTAGCTTCTTTTTTTTTTTTTTTTTTTTTTTTTTTTAAGTGAGGGGGGGGGGTTTCTTCACACAAACACACAACAACAAAAATTGAGGCGTACGCGCCTGGGTACAGCAGTATCTTTTATTAGTGAGGGAGGGTTGTTCCACAGTCTTGGAAAGCGGCGAGATGGAGTACGGAAAAGTGCCTGTGTCCGAGAAGGAAGGTGACGGAATGTAAGTACCTCTTGCCGCCTTGAATTAATCTAGGTGCATTCGGTAAGAGCCTCAAAAAGCGTGAGCCCACAAAGGCATTTGACTAGAAGTCAAAATTACCAATATTTAGGGGAATTGTCATCTCATGTTGCATCATATCTTGTGATTCTCATTTCTTCTCTGGCTTTATTTTGTTGTCAAAATTACTGTGTTGTTAAATTGTCAGACGAATCAGTATATTCGCATAGCACGATATAAAAAGTCATACCGGGGGGGGGGGGGATGTTTCATCAACTAGAATTGATATCGATTTTAAGATCGATTTTAAGGCTTGATGAAACACCCCCTTGGTATTCACAGGCTTTTTTCAACAGCAAATTTTATTTATCAACAGTTTTCTCACAAAATTTAGCAACTGAACAGTAAATACACCTAAAAACAATGTTACAATTTCAATAAAAATAGAAATCTACCTCTACATAATCATAATAATATATATATATTTTTTTTAAATCCCTAAACTATGGTTGGAAGGATTTGATACTGCGACCAAGGAATTTTATAGTGTCATTTTTGACAAGCTTAAACGGACGCGCAAAATTCCAAAACATTCTTATTCAATTATGCTTGAATAAGGCATCCCTGATACTCGTATTTCATTCTGGAAAGCAGTTATTATAATCACCGAAATTGTGAACTGGGAAAAGATTCATTTGATGAACTTTAAATGTATATTTATACTCGCCTTCGCTCATTACAAGATATTTTATGATGCAATCGCTTTAATGATATCTTATTCAAAATTAAAAAGATTGCTTTTCAGTAACGA